ATATAAATTAGCTCTTACTGAGTTCTGAGTTCTTTCTTACAGTTATTTAAATTTTATTTATTTATTTATTTCCTTTTATTAAAATCGATGGAGCATTTTTATCCCCTAAAGCTAGAGTTCTTTGGGTGTTATTATTTATTTATTTGTTTGTTTATACACTTTAAGATTTTTCCCTGCTACACTTATATAAATATCTTTGTATATGGTTATGTATGTATTTCTACCTATCTATCTATCTATCTATCTATCTATCTATCTATCTATCGTTCTATCGTTCTATCGTTCTATCGTTCTATCGTTCTATCGTTCTATCGTTCTATCGTTCTATCGTTCTATCGTTCTATCGTTCTATCGTTCTATCGTTCTATCGTTCTATCGTTCTATCGTTCTATCGTTCTATCGTTCTATCGTTCTATCGTTCTATCGTTCTATCGTTCTATCGTTCTATCGTTCTATCGTTCTATCGTTCTATCGTTCTATCGTTCTATCGTTCTATCGTTCTATCGTTCTATCGTTCTATCGTTCTATCGTTCTATCGTTCTATCGTTCTATCGTTCTATCGTTCTATCGTTCTATCGTTCTATCGTTCTATCGTTCTATCGTTCTATCGTTCTATCGTTCTATCGTTCTATCGTTCTATCGTTCTATCGTTCTATCGTTCTATCGTTCTATCGTTCTATCGTTCTATCGTTCTATCGTTCTATCGTTCTATCGTTCTATCGTTCTATCGTTCTATCGTTCTATCGTTCTATCGTTCTATCGTTCTATCGTTCTATCGTTCTATCGTTCTATCGTTCTATCGTTCTATCGTTCTATCGTTCTATCGTTCTATCGTTCTATCGTTCTATCGTTCTATCGTTCTATCGTTCTATCGTTCTATCGTTCTATCGTTCTATCGTTCTATCGTTCTATCGTTCTATCGTTCTATCGTTCTATCGTTCTATCGTTCTATCGTTCTATCGTTCTATCGTTCTATCGTTCTATCGTTCTATCGTTCTATCGTTCTATCGTTCTATCGTTCTATCGTTCTATCGTTCTATCGTTCTATCGTTCTATCGTTCTATCGTTCTATCGTTCTATCGTTCTATCGTTCTATCGTTCTATCGTTCTATCGTTCTATCGTTCTATCGTTCTATCGTTCTATCGTTCTATCGTTCTATCGTTCTATCGTTCTATCGTTCTATCGTTCTATCGTTCTATCGTTCTATCGTTCTATCGTTCTATCGTTCTATCGTTCTATCGTTCTATCGTTCTATCGTTCTATCGTTCTATCGTTCTATCGTTCTATCGTTCTATCGTTCTATCGTTCTATCGTTCTATCGTTCTATCGTTCTATCGTTCTATCGTTCTATCGTTCTATCGTTCTATCGTTCTATCGTTCTATCGTTCTATCGTTCTATCGTTCTATCGTTCTATCGTTCTATCGTTCTATCGTTCTATCGTTCTATCGTTCTATCGTTCTATCGTTCTATCGTTCTATCGTTCTATCGTTCTATCGTTCTATCGTTCTATCGTTCTATCGTTCTATCGTTCTATCGTTCTATCGTTCTATCGTTCTATCGTTCTATCGTTCTATCGTTCTATCGTTCTATCGTTCTATCGTTCTATCGTTCTATCGTTCTATCGTTCTATCGTTCTATCGTTCTATCGTTCTATCGTTCTATCGTTCTATCGTTCTATCGTTCTATCGTTCTATCGTTCTATCGTTCTATCGTTCTATCGTTCTATCGTTCTATCGTTCTATCGTTCTATCGTTCTATCGTTCTATCGTTCTATCGTTCTATCGTTCTATCGTTCTATCGTTCTATCGTTCTATCGTTCTATCGTTCTATCGTTCTATCGTTCTATCGTTCTATCGTTCTATCGTTCTATCGTTCTATCGTTCTATCGTTCTATCGTTCTATCGTTCTATCGTTCTATCGTTCTATCGTTCTATCGTTCTATCGTTCTATCGTTCTATCGTTCTATCGTTCTATCGTTCTATCGTTCTATCGTTCTATCGTTCTATCGTTCTATCGTTCTATCGTTCTATCGTTCTATCGTTCTATCGTTCTATCGTTCTATCGTTCTATCGTTCTATCGTTCTATCGTTCTATCGTTCTATCGTTCTATCGTTCTATCGTTCTATCGTTCTATCGTTCTATCGTTCTATCGTTCTATCGTTCTATCGTTCTATCGTTCTATCGTTCTATCGTTCTATCGTTCTATCGTTCTATCGTTCTATCGTTCTATCGTTCTATCGTTCTATCGTTCTATCGTTCTATCGTTCTATCGTTCTATCGTTCTATCGTTCTATCGTTCTATCTATCTATCTATCTATCTATCGTTCTATCTATCATTCTATCGTTCTGTCTATCGTTCTATCTATCTAAATGCAATGGGTCTTAAGTTGACATAATGGACTTCCTAAAAGCTAAATAACAATAATGAATTACTATTTTAATTAATAATATATGTAAAATATTCAATTATTTTCATTCTTTTCTTACTTTAATGTTCTAACATTTTATATTCATATTCCTATTTGTGTGTGTGTGTATATATATATATATATATATAAATATTTATTTATTTTTGGTACATTTGGGTCAACTCTTAACATCCAGAATAAAACAACTGAGTATCACTCACTCACATAAACTGTATCTGTCATTTTACTGTCAACCCACATCCAACATTAACATTTTCTATGATAATATATCCATACTCAACACAAACTTAAGAAATATGCTATAACATCTCATTCATGCGGTCTCATCTTTCATCTCTCCGCCCTGCTCTGCGCTCTTCCTCAAGCATGTGACGTGGAGGAATATCTGTGTGCGGACGGCCGCAGCTGTGTTTCTGAGAGCTGGCTGTGTGACGGGGAGCTCGACTGCCCCGACGGCTCTGATGAAACACCATTCATATGTGAGTCCATCAACAAAACATCGCACCATTTATTCCTTTTCTTTCATTATTTCATTTATCTGAACTATTTCTATTCGTGTATGTATATATAGAAGACATTATTTATTTTAATTATATTATATATTTGTTATTTATTTATTTTGAATGGATTATTAAAAAACAAATAGTATAACGTTTATAATGTATTTTTTTTCAATGAATGATAATTCGTAAAATATTTTTATAAATTATTTGTTATTTTTAAATAGTTATAATTAAAAATAATACACACACACAAACATTTTAAATGTATGTTTTATTATTATGAGAATTTATTTAAAAAAATTTTTATAGTTTATAAAAATAATCAATTTATGCATGTGTATGTCTCTCTATAATAAACTTATTGTTTGTTTATTATATACTTGTTATTTTTAAATAAATAAATGTACAACCTTTAAAATGTATTTATATCATTATATATAATAAATATAATTTATATAACATATTTTTAAAACTGTTTAATATTTTATAATAAAAAAATCATTGATCTCTCTCTGTAACAAACACTATTTGTTTATCATATACTTTTATTCATTTAAAAAACACACAACTTCATACAAAGTATTCATTGTGTTATATATAATAATTTATCAAACATACTTTTACATTTTTTTCTCTCTCTAACACACTCATTATTTGTTTATAATATATTTATTTTAAAAACAACATGTAAAACTTTTCAAATGTATTTATTTAATTATATAAAATAATGTACAAAAACAAATTTTTTGTAATTTATTTTTAAATATAAAAAAACATCTATTTCATTGTATATCATTATTTACATATATTTTTCAGCATTTACATTTCCTATCCTATGCCCTCATACATCTCACAACCTATATAAACATCAAGTAAATATGTAAACTGGCATATTTCTCAGACTTATTTTAGGCTTTATTCACTCACAGATAAAGAGATCTTATTAACAAGTTTGAATTTTTTGAATATGAGTATGATTGAGAGGGTTTTGAAGGACAAGTTCAGATTTAACATCGTCACAAAGACCACAAACTAATCAAAAGTGCATTATTAAGCTGCATATTCATAAAAACAATCTTTCTTTAAAAGAGTTTTACACTTTCTGCCAAGTTGCATGTAATTTTGAGATTCCAACGCAAAAACAATCACACTTCACGTTTCTATTATAAAATGAATGGGTTTTCAAAATGCTTCAGTAAAAATGGGAAGCACACTAATAAATAATGCTGGATGAGAAATACTGAGCCTTGGATAAAAGATGAAACGTTAATTAAAGGAATTGTTGCCTGAATGTTGTGCGTGTTTTTACACGGTACAGTCCTCGAATGCACCGATTCTGAGAGGATAAAGAGATGAGAAAGCTTTTGTACGTATGACAGGCTGCATAATTATCTTTTTTTTAAATAGTAGGCAATGATATATCTTTGAAATTCAGTGTATGCAGGAATAAATAGTCCTGACAAGGCTTTTATGAGATTAGAGGAAATCACAGTGGAAGTCAGTTGCCTTCGGTGAAATATCTTGTGGTAACATAATAAACGTGTTATTTTAAAGTTATTTTTCCTGTCAGTATTTTTGGCAAATAAATGCCCCTTGCTCATTATACCTGACAGTTTGGCAATTACCGAGCTCATTTAAATAAAAAATAGTTTTTTATAGGGAATATTCAGTGTCTCTGCATACAGTCAGAATACACTTTTGCTTGTACAGTATGTGCAGCTGCATGAACTAAATTCTGACTTTTCTCATTGCACGTCAACAAACGCCACCGTCGTGGTTCCTTTGATCAGTTTGTCATCTCTCGTCTGTGAACAACCATCTGTGGTTTTCCAACTTGCCTTTCTCTTAAAATGCATCCCGTTAATCACACAACATTAGTGTGTAATCCATTTTCAAAACAATAAACACAAGCAGAAATTGAAAATTGTGCAGTTTGTATGGATGAAAGAGCCTTGAAAGAAGTCTTTCTTTACTCTCATGCTGTTATTTTATATATGTGTGTATATATAATAAATAAATATAAAATTGTAAAAATGTAAATTAAAAATTACTGGGTTTTTTTCTTTATATGTGTGTATATATTTTTATATATAATTAATTTATATTTATTAATTAATTTATTATTAAATAAATAATAATAAAATAAATAAAAGCTCTTTCTTTAAATACATTCAGTTATAGTTAAAATTTTCTTAGTGATAAAAATCTTATCAGCTTATGCTTAAAACTATAGGGAGACCTTTTACATTATAAGGTTACAATTAGGCATAACAACTTAACCCAAACTTAAATTTAATTGCTATTTATTTTTAAATAGATGATCAACACTCATCTTAAAAAAAAATAAAAAATGTATGCAAACATGTAAATTGCACATAATGCAGTTTTTAAATTAACTTATAAATAATACAATTTCTAAGTTATTTGTTAAAATATATTAAATTACACAATGTCTATTAAATTTCATAACAGATTAATTTAAACATACTGTACATTAAGTAATTAAGACTAACAGGTTTAGTAAAATATAATGAGTATATGGTGTAATATTTCGCAAAATGCTCCTCTCTAGACTTAATTTCTCTAGTGAACTAACGAGCTGTGTTTTATTTCCACGCTGTAACGCGGGAGTTCCCCAGGTGGAGCGGTCGGTTGCGATGCAGTTGTGTCCAAATGCCGCTACCACTTGGCGGGCCAAACCGTTGCTCCCCTCCCGGGCCTGTAGGCACTCGTCGGCCTTGATCGGCAGTGCTTATATGACCTGTGGAGAAGCTGCGTCCGCCTTACACGCTTCGGCGTTATTGCAAGTGCACCAGGCTCAGGCACTGAGGGACTTGCACGAGGGTGATCACGACCCGGAAGTTCTCAAATAACTCCGCACCACGACGGACTTCGCGCTACGAGCGACGAAGGTTATGGCGCGGTATCTAGGTCGTGCGATGTCCACTATGGTGGTCCAGGAGCGCCATTTCTGGCTGTGTCTGGCCGACATGCGTGAGACGGACAAGACAAGATTCTTGAACTCCCCCGTGTCCCAGACTGGCCTTTTCGTCGACACAGTGGAGAACTTTGCCCAGCAGTTCTCCACTGCCCAAAAGCAGACTGAGGCCATCAGGTACATCCTGCCCCAGCGTGCAGCTGCTGCCTCCACCTGGCCGCCGGTGGCAGCGCCACAGCCCACTCGTCGCTGGGGGTGGCGGCTCCGCAGCAGACCTCACTGACCTCACGTTCAGTGGTACCCAAATACTCGACAAAAGAGCAATTTCTTCTATCTCTGGGTCCCCTGAGGGGATGGGGGGTTGTGGACAATCCAGAGCCATATCACACTCACACTCCTCTCTCGCCAGTGAGCAACAGTGGGCGGATCGGGAGGACGAACCAACGGACTACCCACGCACCCTCTGCTCAAACGCAGGTCAGTGTTACACACACCCAGACCCCGCCTCGGACTGGCTGCGAGACGCCCGGGCCGGGTCCCTGCATTCTTCCGCGCTGCCCCACTGCGGGTACACCTGTAGTTCCGTTGATGCCACTTACGCGGTGTCTGGGAGCCTGGCTAGAGCTA